CCCCCCCCCCCCCCCCCCCCACCTCTGGACATCAGCTGTGATGTAGATCTAGATCTATATTTTAAAAATGTAAAATAATAATAAATAGTTCGGCCGGCTTCAAGCGTTCCATCCCATAAGGTGAAGGAGCGCTCTTAGAGAATTAAAGTAGGGAATGAATGGAAAATTACGAAGTAGACTTTTGAAACAGATATACATGATCATCTTAACCAGATCTTAGCTAAATTAAATCTTTAATGAACACCAAATAGAATAATAGTAAAGTACAAAAAATGTTTGCCTCTCCAGTAAAAAATAATTTTGTCTCACTACCGACGCCACTGCGCGGGATGTGGGACCGGCCGCCGGCGGGACAATTTGTCGTTTACACACTTAACAATGGCAGGCCTCTCTGCCTGCACACAATAAATTATAGTTCAAGGAAAAGAGAGCGTGTTCGAACGTAACGAGACACAAGTACGAGACTATTAAAATGTATGCTCTGCATGATGGCAGAAGGGTTGTAAATTATTCAGACCAAATGGGCGACGGCGTTAAATCGAGTTGACAAGCTTAATAATTTTGTTAAGCAATCCAAGCTCTTTTCTTCACTTTCATTTTTTCCCCTCTTTTTTTCTTCCTTTTTTTTCTTGCCTCTTTTGTCCCCTTGTACTTTTGGAGTTTGGAGCAAAAAAAGAGCCAGAGAGCCACATGAAATTCTGCGGGCCAGACGCGACCCAAAAGAGCCCAATTTATGGCATTTAGCTCCAAAGTGACAACCCTGACTGTGACTATTCGGATAAGAACACGATCTCATGGAGCATCAGCCCCGGCAACTGTAGCCCTGATCCCTCTCGGGTCATTCCCGGTAAAACAAGGGAGGGGGTGAGAGTGAGAAAGCGAGACAGGTTATTCTCATCTGGGGTGAGAATAACTACTTCCGAGCACAAAAGTAATCTAATTTGGTTGTCAACAAAGATGCTACGGTTATTTAAGCCTATTTCACTTTTCGAATTGAGCCTAACTAAGCTGGTCACCGCCATTTTCCGCTACTCCTCTCTCTCTCACCCCATTTATCCCCCCCCCCTCTCTCTTACTAAACTGCTTGCAGACAAAATTGCACACTTTCAT